TTGATGTACTTTCTGGAAGTATAGTTATTCTCTGCTATTTAAAAGAAGAAACAATATCACTAGGCCTCTTCAGATCAAGCATTTATTTTAAAAAGCTTCTTCATTTTGTTAAGCTGTCTAGAACAATAATAAAGCAGTCTTTAAAAAATAAGACTAATAATTTGAACATTATATAGGCATTTATAGTTGTTGACTTACCTTCTTGCAGCAAACAGCCTGATTAGCACAAGAAAAAAATATCTGCCTCTACCTCCCAGCAATTTGCCTCATGGAGCAAACAGAAAGTTTCACTTTCAATTTCTCCCAATCATCAGCTGTTTCGGTTGCAGGGATTGCTATAGCCTATTGCAGCCTTCGCAAGCCCCATTTCCCTGTTTGCTGCAAGGAAGTAAATTGCTGGGAGGCAGAGGCCAAAAGGTTGGGGTTGAGGAGTGGGCAGGAATACATTTGGTGTATAAGACGCACCCAAATCTTCACCCTCTTTTAGCGGGGTGGGAAGGTCCATCTAATACTCCGAAAAATACAGTACCTGGAACTGGGCAAACTGGAGCTCTTTTCACTTTTAGAACAGAATAACAGAGTTGGAAGGGATCTTGAAGATCTTCTAGTCCAACCCCCTTCTTTTGGAGAAGCATATCCTCCAAGGCAGTCATACTAAAATGAGCAACTATGTTTTACAGGAAGAGACAGAAGGAAGTGCATATTTAATTATCTTGAGAAGATGACTGAAAATTCAGTATAGCAATATAGGCAGTCTTCACTTAGCGATCCTTATTGACAAGACAAAGTGCTTGTTAAGTGAAACATTACGTGACTGCAACTTGTAACCTCCTGCCAGCTTTCCCTTCAACTGTTTTGTGGGAATATTGCAAATGACTATCACATAACTGTGGAACAAGGCAACTGTCATATATGCGTGATGGTTAGCAGTGCCCAATTGTGATATGACCGTAGAGACGTTGTAATCTTTATGAGAACTATCCACAAGCCATTTTTTTCAGCCCTGTCATCACTTTGAAGAGTCACTAAAATGGTCATTAAGCAAGACCTACCTATATTTTCCAGATATCTAGAAGGAGGAACAGAACAGAATAGCAAAATAACAAGAGTTGGAAAGGGCCTTGGAGGTCTTCTAGTCCAACCCGCTAGTGGTGACATGATAGCAATATTCCCATATCTAAAGGACTTCCACAAAGAAGAGGGGGGGGGGGTCAACCTGCTCTCCAAAGGCAGGACAAGAAGCAAAGGATGGAAACGAATCAAAGAGAGAAGCAACCTAGAACTAAGGAGAAATTTCCTGACAGTGAGACCAATTAATGAATGGAATGACTTGTCTCCAGAAGTTGTGGGTGCTCCAACACTGGAGGTTTTCAAGAAGAGACTGCAGAGTCATTTGTCTGCTATAGTATAGCATGGGTTTGGACTAGAAGCAGTGGTGGAATTCAAAAAATTTTCACTACCGGTTCTGTGGGCATGGCTTGGTGGGTGTGGCAGGGGAAGGATTCTGCAAAATCTCCATTCCCACCCACTTCTTGGAAAGGATACTGTAAAATCTCCATTCCCTCCCCACTCCAGAGGAAGATTACTGCAAAATGCTCATTTCCTCCTGATCAGCTGGGACTCAGGAGGCAGAAAATAAATGGAGGTGGGGCCAGCCAGAGGCAGTATTTACCAGTTCTCTGAACTACTACTGGTTCTCCGCTCAGAACCTGCTGAATACCACCTCTGACTAGAAGATCTCCCAAAGTCCTTTCCAACTCTGTTATTATTGTTATAAATAGACTGCTCACTTCCACTATCTGAACTCAGAGCAAAGAGAGGTCTATTACCCAGAGATGCCACGTGTCTAGAATTCTCTTTCATGACTTCCCCGTGGAGAGACTTTTGGGTGGGATCCAGCAGGGCCCACTCCTCCTCGGAGAAACACACCACCACCTCCTGCAAGGACACAGCACCCTGTGTGAGGGGAGAAAATGTTAACAGATACCCTCAAGGTTTGGAAAGATCTCTGCTTTAATCTTCATTAGGCATTTCTCCACATCCACGCGCATTTCGCGACAGTCCGCTTTCCACCAAACTGGAAGGCCATCCAGTAACCTGGTGGACATTGAGGATGTTCAACCACTTGGAGGACATCCAATGGTCAAATGTGGGCAGGATTCCAAATTGTAAGAAGAAAACAATGAAGCATTACAGTTTCTACGGATTCAACCGCACCTTCAGTATTCCCTTTCCAGAAAAGAGGGGGACCTCTTCTGACACCATATGAAGGAAAAACCCAAAGTGGATGATCCACTGATGGACCTTCTCAAAGCTCTAGTTTGGATTTTGGACTTCTTCCTTCCCCAAAGGAAAAAAACTCTGCCTCGTGCTTTTTTTTGGGAAGCCTCGGTCAGAACATCTACAAGCGTCTCTGGGCCACTTACAAATTTTAAAAACTAATAATCATTAAAATGATACAAAGTCACCCTGTGGCGAGTGGGGCGGCCAACAAGTTTAATAAAGAATAAATAAATAAAGGAATAAATAAGAATAGTTTTTAGGCCTGTCATTTCAAGAGGCTCACACATCGCATGAATAGCCAGGTTGAAGGTTAGAGGATTATAATTTTATCTTGACTCTTCAATGTTCTGGAGTCCTTAAAGAGAGCCTCTGTGATTATGGGTCATTTCCCTACCTGAGCTGGAGAGAGTGTTTCTGCTTCATCAGAAAAAGAAGGCATTTCAACAAGATCCCGTGGCGATGGGCCATATCCTGCAAGGGAGACAAATAAACGGGAAGAAGGGAATTTCAGAAGGCTATTGTTAACAATTTGCGGGATGGCACTCTATGTAAAAACCTTTTCACCTTCAAGGTAACCCTGTGAATTCAGGTTCTGAAGATGGGAGAAGCTGGCCATCATTGGCCACGAAGACAGAATCCATCCTTACCTGCTGAGATCTCAAGAATGTTGTTTTCCTGGGAGATTCCCTTGAAAAGCATCCCCTGAGAGGAATCTGAGGAATCCATCGTCCTGTAGGCAACTTGTGGCTCCACCTTGATGGAGCTTTCCTATAAATAAACCACAGCAAGGGAAAAAAAGATAGAATCAGAATCCTGGAACCTAAGCAAGGAATCATTGCTTTTGACTATGGCCTTATTCAATATGGAAATAGAGCAAATTTTATCTTTCTTATGGATACAATAGCAGAGTTGGAAGGGACCTTGGAGGTCTTCTAGTCCAACCCCCTGCCTAGGCAGGAAACCCTATACCGTTTCAGACAAATGGTTATCCAACATCTTCTTAAAGACTTCCAGTGTTGGGGCATTCACAACTTCTGGAGGCAATTTCTGTTCCACTGATTTGTTCTAACTGTCAGGACATTTCTCCTCAGTTCTAAGTTGCTTCTCTTCTTGATTAGTTTCCACCTATTGCTTCTTCTACCCTCAGGTGCCTTGGAG